GGATCGACCTTGATCATAATAGATTCCTCATATTACAAGTAAAACAGTATTTATAGTGTGATTGTTATCATTTACCTTCTTGCATGTACATGTACAATACATGTATTCTCCCTCCCTCCCTCTCTCTCTGTCTCTCTCTTTCTCTCTGTCTCTCTCTGTCTCTCTGTCTCTTTCTCTCTGTCTCTCTCTTTCTCTCTCTTTCTCTCTCTCTGTCTCTCTCTCTCTGTCTCTCTCTTTCTCTCTCTCTGTTTGTCTCTCTCTCCCCCTCTCTCTCTCCTTTTTCTTAGGGTGAAGTAGAGCAGATTGCTCTCATGAAGCCTAAAGCTCTCACTGAACACGATGAGGGTATGCTAGAGTTTCTGGAGGATATCATTGGCACCAGTCAGTATAAGGAACCCATTGCTGAGCTGTGGGATAAAGTTGAAAACCTTAACGAGATTAGAGGACAAAAGGTATAATTAGGAGACATAATCTCCCTCATTTTTATGGCTGTGTATACATCAGACATGAAGATGTATCTATGCATCTATGTTTTGTTACATATATGTCTTCTCTTTCTCTCTTTTTTCTTTCTCTCTCCCCCCCCCCTCTCAGTTAAATCGTGCCAGAGCGGTAGAAAAGGAAAAAGATTCTTTAGAAGGTGCCAAGAATGAAGCTGAACACTATCTCTCGCTTAAAAAAGAGGCAGCACTCAAACAGTATACGTTATATGAGAGATACAAATACGACTGCTCTGAGCTTGAAGCCAAGGCTAAAGAGAAGGAGACTGAGCTCGCTGATCGTATCAAAGAAGTTGATGATTCTGGTAAGAAATATCGAGAGGGGAAGGAAGAGAAGCTTAAGGAACAGAAGAAGCTTTATAAGTAAGTGTAGAGTATAATATATTGATGAGGGAGTCTCTTTCTTTCCCTCCCTCTCCCTCCCTCCCTCTCTTTATTGTAAACTCTACAGTGGTTGCTATCTCTTTGTGTACTAGATACCACTCTTTCATTACAATGGCTTCTGTGTGTGACCCTCATTAAACTTACTAGAGTAGTTCATGTACATGTACAGTCTGTCTATGTACATGTACTTGTATACTGCTTGTGTTTGTGTCAACATAGCACGACTATGATGTATGTGTGTATCTACCCTACCTTACCTGTATAATGTACGGTATGTACCTTTAATTATACATGCACATATACCTGTATAATACGATCAATGTATGCTCTCTGTGTGTGTGTGTGTGTGTGTGTGTATACATGTACATGTTTGTAGTAGTTGTTTTCATTTGTTGTCCTGCTGTATCTATGTCTGCTCA